GCTATCTCTCTTCTTTCTTTTTGGGCTGCAGGCTTCCTAAGTACGTTGTGTCGCCCTAAAATTTGTGTAGCTGTTCTTTCTTCAAGGTGACTTATATTCCATAGATTTTCAATAAAGATTTTTATATCATCCTTGGATTCTAATGGATGTTTCATTGGAATCGATTGATTTATATGATATGTGGTGTTTATTGCTCTTCTATAAACATCAAATCTGAAGATACGTTTTTCAAGTGGATTTGACTAACGTGACACCACAAGAAGCCAATCTTCTCAAGTGACTTATGGGGATTGCGAAAGGGACTGATGGGGGACTTGATTATTTTCCGCACCTACTGTGCTATAATCACAACTCTTGGTGCTTGGATAGTTTGCTGGTTTGTGTAGTTTGCTGGTATATTTAGGTAGCTAGTATGAATTTGAAGAAAAGTTAGCTGGTATGGTATGTGTAGTTTGCTCTTTGCTCGTGTATGTAGCTAGCTGGTATGCTGGTATGCTGGTATATATTGCTAGCTGCTATAATTGAATTTTGAAGAAAGTTAGCTGGTATGATGTGTAGCCTGTTGGAATGGTAAATGTAGTTTGCTGTTATTTGTAGTAATCAATTAAAGTTGGATTGAATACAAATCTATTTTTTACTATTAAAAACTTTTCGTGTGAGTTGCTTTTACAAAAAAAAAAAAACATTGATCTTTGTCCCTGCTTCTTATTTGAAACACTATCGAAAAGGTAAAATAAACAAAAAGTTGAGGGAAGGAGACACCGATGAGTGAAGAGTGCCCTATATATCTAAGAGAGGAAGTGGTGGCAGAATAAGCAAGGCTGTGTAGTTGGCGTCCTGCCTGAAAGCTATGTTGGGAAAGTGTATGATCCGGTACCCCTTTTATTCATTTTCCAATACTTCAATTGTTGTGTCAAACAGGACCTTAAACTTGGAGCATGTGCTTGCTTATTAAGCTGTTACAACAGCAACAAAATACAATCTTTGCTTGAATCCTAGCAACAATTCGGCATAAAAAAAAAAAATCCAACCATTTTTTTTTAATCAACCCATTGCAAAAATAAATTAATACGAGTACAAGCATTAAAGATGTTACATTCTCACGAGCAAATTAGGATACTCAATAACTCACATAACATAAAACAATCGTAACTCTCTCCCTGCTGTACTCATTATTGCTTGGCCAGGTAGTTGCTGTTTTTTGCTGGCAAACTTCAACTCTTTCCTATATTCAGCATCAAAACTTGCACGAAGCCATGGTAAAGTATTCCTATCATGAACGGAGAAAATGCAGGCCACAGATTTATTTTTCAGCCACACAGATATCTTCACTTGAATCAATCTAACAGCCTACCTTGGTTAAGTTGAGTTCCTATAGGCATAACAAATCAAAATCCAACTAATTTTCATCAAAGTCTAAATACATCCTATAGGCATCTCGATCAGAAGAGTAATAACTTTTGATCAAGCTGTCAACTTGAAATCCCAGCTTCTTGTAGAGACCCATAGCAGGTGACCTCAGGGGATCAACATGAAGTGAAATTCGTTGGATGGGTCTGCTTCTGCACTTCTCAATAGCTGCTTTCAGTAGTGTCTCCCCATGGCCTTGCCTTCTATGACTTTCCTTCACTGTTTCGTTCTCCATCAACCAAAGTATTGGAGCAAGAGAAAGAAAAGAAACACCCATGTTAGAGATGAAGAAATTTCACATAAATTATGAATTAAACAGATAAGGTGTGTTTGTTTGGCCTGATTTTATTGGTCTATAGCTTTCTTTCCTTAAAGAGCCCTGGTTAAGGTGTTTGGAAACATTACTCTATAAGGTGATTTCAAAATGTTAATACGTAATAAATATTAACAATTAGCTATCAATTATTCCTAGTCAAACCAAATAGAGTCATGGTTTCTCGCTTCTGGTTTCATTCAAACAGTTCCAGATTCTCATAAAAATGAAAACTAGTGTTCGCGATGGACATAAATCCCTGGGGAATTTTATCAAACAAGTTATGGGTGTCCATCAATTTTCTCAAGTTCATATGAAACACATACTATTTCATGACCAAAAACACGAAACCTATTGAATAAATGGCAAAATTGAGAGGATTAAAACCTGCAATTTTTGTGATAGATGCAGAAAGTGACGAGGGCCAGGAATAAATGACGTAGCCGGTGACTTCTCCATCAAGATCGACATAAAGCAATCCAGAGTTCCTCTTTTTCAATTCTTCGTCAAAGTATCTAGCAAGGGATTCGTGTTTTGGGAATATTTTTTTCTCCAACTTTACAATTTCTTCCACTAACGTAGCCCAATTCGTTGAGTTTCTTTGCAGCTCCACCACGGTCCACCTCTCCATGCTTGGACTCTTGCACAGGAAGGGAGCAGCCGACATTTTGAAAAAGAAGATTAAATAGGGTCCTTTATTTTTACGGTAAAGTGGCCATCAGTCCTGCCTTCCAAAAAGAATTTGGAGTCCCAACCTAAAACGGCGTCGTTCTCTTAATTCCAGCCCCTTCCTTTTGCCTCTTCTGCAATCATCTCCATCTCTATCTCCGATTCCTTCTCCATCGCCTCTCATCTCCGTCGACTCCTCCGAATCCTTCTATTCCACTGCAATTCATCTTCTCCGTTGACGGTGACCCCTGCTTTTTTTCACTTCTTCTGCAATCATCTCCATCTCCATCGATTCCTCCAATTCCTCCAATTTTTCAAATGCAATCCCATGCCAGCAGCTTAATCCCCAACACCCACTACTTTAACCCCATTATGCTGCTACAATTCATCATCTCCGTCGATTCTACCGCTGCAATTCATCATTCTTGCCTAGCTCTTCCTTCTTCGGCTTAACCCCAAAAAAATTGAACTATATATCACATGAGCTATCATTTTGCATCACAAAATTTTCCCATACCCATTTACTCAGTAAGCAACCCATCATCATAAAAATTCAATAACATAAAAAAAAAAACACCAATCAGATTATAATGGAAACTGTTCAAAACCAAGTGAACTGAATTTAATAGTACATCATGTGCAACAGAAAATCAAGAGGTTAATGAATCATATCCAAAGCTAAATCAAGATCCAATTACCCTTAATCCAAGTAGATCATGTCAAAATTTCATAACATAGAGTTCACCAAAAAAACAAAAGAAGTGAAACCCAACTACTGTGATGAACAAACAAACCCAAGAAGATTACTTGAACAGGGGCAGCAAAAAAACCTGACATTACTGCAAAAAATCAGTGGGTTTCTTGTGTATATGCCAACAATTTTTCATCTGCACCAAGGATGCAAACACAGCAGCAGCAGCAGCCAGAATAAAAAAAAATGAAAAGGAAAAAGCAGAAGCAAGCAGTGCAGCTACACTACCAGAGCCAGCATTCTGCATTCTATCTGTGTTTACCATAGCCGCTCCGTTCTTGTTCTCTAGACCCCTTTGAATGCCGTGGCTTATCTTCCCTCTCAGCCATTGGTGGAAGTGATGATTCATACCTTGAAGGCTTCCTCTTGAAATGTCGCTCATCGTCGCTAGACTCATAATCTATCGCACTGCTACTGCTCTTCTTTACACTAGTGAAAACAGCCTTGGCAGCAGCAGCAGAGGATGATGACTTATGTTCATCGTGGTAACCATTGGAAGCTGCCTTGTCATGAGCAGAAGAAGATGCAGGTTCAGAGGACAGCTTACGTCTCTTATTGGTCTCTTCCTCGGGAAAACATATGCGAGAGAAGATGCTCCCCTTATGCTTCTTGTCTGCGGCAGTTGTTGTTGGAGATACAGAAGCGGCTTTAGTGGCTGCTTCAGTCTTGGGCTTTGCAGAGGACTCTGAGCGGTGGTGATGGTGGTGGCGGTCACAGTCTTTCTCACGATCATCGTAATCGTATCAAATTTTGTGATGCAAAATGATATTCATGTGATATATAGTTCAATTTTTTTGGGGTTAAGCCAAAGAAGGAAGAGTTAGGCAAGAATGATGAATTGCAGCCGTAGAATTGATGGAGATGATGAATTGCAACAACATAATGGGGTTAAAGTAGTGGGTGTTGGGGATTAAGCCGCTGGCGTGGGATTGCATTTGAAAAATTGGAGAAATTGGAGGAATCGATGGAGATGGAGATGATTGCAGAAGAAGTGAAAAAAAGCAGGGGTCACCGTCGACGGAAAAGATGAATTGCAGTGGAATCGAAGGATTCGGAGGAGTCGATGGAGATGAGAGGCGATGGAGAAGGAATTGGAGATAGAGATGGAGATGATTGCAGAAGAGGTAAAGGCAAAACGGAGGGGCTGGGATTAGAGAACGACGCCGTTTTGGGTTGGGACTCCAAATTTTTTTAGGAGGCAGGACTGATGGCTACTTTACCGTTATTTATATATATATATTTTTTCCAGTTAGATGGTTAGAAAATTAGTAGAATTAGTTTGTTAGCAGTTAAAATTTTTCAGGAAAGTGAACGTTCCATCCCTCATTTGAGGCATGCGACTATTAGGTCGCAAGTTGGTGAAGTTCACGGCAGTGGCAGAGCTCGAAACCCTGACCTCCGCCTCACCCAAACCCTAAAGCTTGGGGCCAACCAATTAAGCCACAGACCCGGTTAGCATTTTTATATTTTTTTAAGTTTGCATATGAAGAAAATATCTATACGAGTATATTATTATTATTTTTTTTTTATCAAACGGTCAAGGACAGACTTGAAATTCATTCATGAAAGAGAGAATACATTTCAAATTCACAAATTATCAATTAACTCGGAAGGACCGAATTCGTATACGAGTAGATTATTTGGCTTTAGAGAAAAGTGGTGATTGGTACGGAGGGAAATTAGTTTTCCTTCGATAAATTAAATTAAGTCATTGCAAGTCGGCAACTGGACTGTGGCTCAATTGGTTGGTCCCAAGCTTTAGGGTTTCGTGGCGGAGGTCAGGGTTTCGAGCTTTGCCACCACCGTGAACTCCACCAACTTGCGACTTAATGGTCGCGCGCCTTAAATGAGGAGGTGGAACGTTCACTTTCTTAAAAAATTTTCAGCTGCTAACAAACTAACTCTACTAACTTCCTAACCATCTACTTGGTCAAAAAAAAAAAAAAATGATTTGCACCTGGCGCTTCAAGCAAAATAACCTTA